CACATTAGTGTTTTATCTATTTTTAAAATCTAGCCATCCAAGAAAGATCCCCCGGTTCTCTTTCTTTGTGTCCCTGAAACGGCATCTGGCATTCAGTAGACTGGAGCTTCAGAAGGATTCGTTTCCTGAGGGGCCTGCGGCACCCCGTCTCATGGTGGCCGAGCAGGAAGCTGCGTCCCTGGATGTATTCCAGGAGGGCTTTAGAGGAAACCTCTGAGAGCTCCATGTTTATTTTTGCTTCTTCACATGAGCCAATACAAAGATAAAAAGACTCATTGAAGTTGTTATCAGAATCATTGAAGCTGTTATCGGAATCATCATCATCTTTGTCCAGCTGGGAGGATGGAACTAGAGGTCGAATGCTTCCCCTCCTGGAACACATTTGAAACCTGATGGGTCCAACCAGCTCATCCCCAAGCAAGCAGGGCGGGAGGAGTGGACATGGAGGAGAAGGGCAGCAGATCTGGGGGCTACTCACCACCATAGTGTATCAGGAAGGAGGTAATTGTCCCCTTCCCCTGACGTGAAATGTCCTCCTCCTGCTGACAAGTGAGATTGGAACTTCCAAGAAACCATAGCCTATTGCTGCTATGTAAGGCCAGGTGTGGCAGACCTGCCCACGGTGGGGTTCATGCACCTCTGTTTAGGAAAAAAAATAAAATCAGGGGCTCTCTTATTGGGAGACAAGTGGCATTTCAGAGAGCTGTAGGTGGTCACTGAAATCCTGGGGAATTAATAGTTAAGCTCACTGCTATGCAAAGGCTGGAGGAAAGTCCACCCAGAGGTGCCTCAGAAGAAAAGCCTAACACTCTATTTCCCAAAACCATCATTAACAATCAGCAGCATCAGTGTGGATGGTGAAGAGATTGAGATAGTTAATAGTTTTAGTTTGCTTGGCTCAGCAATCAACACTCTTGGTAATAGCAGCCAGGAAATCAGGAGATGAATTGCATTGGGAAAGTCAGCTGTGAGGGACCTCTCAAGAGTACTGAAGAGCAACGACATGAGGCTGGAGACCAAGGTGCGCCTGATCCAAGCTATAGTCTTTGCAGTTATGTGCTATGCATTGGAGAGTTGGACCATGACTAGGGATGATAGAGAATTGATGCCTTTGAGCTGTGGTGCTGGAGAAGAGTGTTGAATATACCATGGACTGCTAGGAGAACAAACACGTTTGTCCTAGAGAGGGTGAAGCCAGAATGTTCCTTGGAGTCAAGGATTCTGAGGCTTCATCTGACATACTTTGGGCATGTTGCAAGGAGGGAACAGTCCTTGGAGAGGGACGTCATGTTTGGGATAGTGGAGGGACAGCACAGGAGAGGAAGACCCTCGATGAGATGGATCTATTCTGTGAGTGGAGTGGTGGGAATGAGTGTGTTTGAGACGGTGAGGTTGGCACAGGATAGAACGGCATTTGGGGCTCTTGTACATAGGGTCGCTATGAGTCACAAGCGACTTGATGGCACATAACAACATCACTAACAACTCTGTGAAGCAAGTTCTACACTGACCCTAAGCCCAAGTCTAGACTTCATGACACATGGTGCAGGCAGCCAGGACATCTGGGGCTGGAGACCGTGCTGTGGATGGATCTTTCTCATCAGGATAGAGTCAGCACTTCACAGGTCACCAAACTGCCTCAAAATCCTAACCCACTACCAAACAGGGGCAGGACTTTTCAGGGAAGAGGGAGGGGGCAAATACAAACTCCCCATCCCCGACACCCCACCAGCGCCTGAGGGCTGCACTGTGGAATTCCTCTGACCTGCACTCTGTGGAATTAGCAGGAGTTATCTGTACAAATCCCCAAGTCATTCATCAGTGAGCAAGCCAGCCTTACTTCTGAGGGCCGTTCACTGACCTCCCATAACTCCTTGTTAGGAAATACCTACTCAGCTGTGCTCTAACATGACCAGGGTCAGGGAGGAGCCCAGCTGTGTGCTGTCTGCTGTCTGAGTTCTCTGTCTGGATTCCCTTTTCAGCTATCTTTCAGATCATTCAGAGCATCAGGATGGGCATGTGAGAAGGCCACGGGTTCGAGGCTGCCCACCCCACGGGGGGCGCAGGACCAGGGAGCATTCGGCCAGGTGTCAGTGAAGGACAAGGACAGCGCCTTCGATAGCTCACAGGTCACTTCATCTTGGATGTCAGGCCTGCCCTCGCCCAGGCTGTCCAGCTCATCGTGCCCCGAGCAGAAAGGACATGGACTTTTGTGTAGACTGTCTGCGGCGCGCTGCGTGTGCTCCCGGGTCACTCATGCCTGCATGCGGCCCTCTGAATGATTCCTGCCCCACCGTCTACAGAAATTGGTTTTACAAATAAATGTCTTTGTTCAACCTTACTGTGTGTGAGTGATAATGAGAAAACGGAAGTGAAGGAGAAATCAGAACACCTCAAGGAATTTCGGGCTGCAGGGAACTTGATGCCACAGTTGGAAAGGGGTAGAATATGCGGCCTCGGGACCAGACCTAGATTTATCCAAGAAGTCCCAGGCTTCACCTGAAATACATTTCTAAGGCAGCTTTGACATGCAGCCAACTCTTCATTTTGCTTGTTTCTTGTATTCCAAACCAGGAGAGGCTCCTACACTGCATGTTAAGATTGTTGTTATTGTTAGGTACAGTTGAATTGACTACAACTCATAATGACCCAATAAACAGCACATGGAAACCTTGGCCTACCCTGCACCCTCCGCACAATTCCTGCGGCGCTCAGGCCCATTGTTACAGTCGCCATGTCAGTCTATCTTACTGAGAGGCCCTCTCTTTCTCGGACTCCTCTGCCTTTGCCAGCAGGATTTCTTTTTTTCCAAGCACCGACTCCTTCTGTTAACACGCCAAAGTACCCAAGCCAGTTTCACCATCTTAACATAGTTACACCTCCTCCAAGACAGATTTGTTTGTTCTTTTTGCAGTCCGTGGGATATTCAGGACTCTTGTCTACTGTGACTCATAGGCATCCACTCTTCTTTGGCCTTCCTTCAGTAAAGTTTGGATTCGCTTTTATTTCCTCTGTGGTTGGCCTTAGGAGCCCCTGGAGCAGACGTTCCAGCTCTTTCTGTGAAAACCATCAGATCCAGAGTCATCCCTAGCCCTACAGAGACATCACACTGGGCTGTGGATAGAAGCCACTTCAGATGCCATGGAAGAAAGGCCTGGCAATCTGCTTCCATGAAGATTTTTCCCTCTCTCTTATTGCCACCACTTTGCTTCCAACATAGAACTGTCAATCTGCTCCCAACTTACAGCTGACTCTCCATTGAGTTTCTGAGGCTGTAAATTGCAAAGCAGGAAATTATCCATCTTTCCCCTAAAGAGTCAAACCACCAGACACTTGACCTTTCAATTAGCTGTGCAACTCTACAGACTATGCCGCCAGAGCTCCTCTCCACAAAGACCACAGCCCAGAAATCCCAACAGAACGCTTCTGCTCTGTAATGTGTGGAGTTGCCATAGTCAGAATCCATTAGACCATGGGCTTAATCTGGATAGAGCAGGAGTCCTGAGGGTTCTCTGTGAGGTCAGCTGGAGAATGTGTGGGGACCACTTAGTGCTTAGTGCTGGTCACTGTGCCCACTGTCTGTCAAAGCATGGGCCACCCACATCAGCATGACATCACCATCGCAAGCTTTGTACGTATGTGTGTACAGGCTCACAATTTCACACAGGAGCTTGGGTCCCACCTCAAACCTACTGAAATGAATTTGTTACAAGTCGGGCCAAGAAAAACATGCCTTAATCATCTCACCAGGTGAGGTATATGCTCTGAACGTTGAGAACCTCCAATTTAACTCAAGACGAACTGAGGCTTTGCACTATTCCAAAGCCACAGACGCTGTGAACTTGGTCTTGGGTCGATTTCTATGGGACCAGGCAGATCATAAGGAGTTAACACCCTCAGCTGTTCACAGATGGTCTAGGTCTGGGGGTCCAAGGCCACCATATGCACCTCAGGAGAAAGACCTGGCACTGTCAATTTTTTTTTTAAATACCAAGCCATATTTATTGTGCAATATCAATAGTTATTTGTGGGATCTTGGTTTAATATTCTTCATATCCATTTTATCTGCCTAGGTTTCAACAAAACGCTAACACCCTAACTATAAATTTCATGATATTCTTCAAACACAAAGCACTAAAAGCACTGGTGATTCATATTATAATTTAAAAATATTTTAAAATTTTACAGA